ATAAAACGATCTTTTGATGTCTGAATACAGTCGGTTTATCATTCTTGTCTAGCTCCTCTCTGACCTTTTTGAACTTTTGGTGAGCATGGGTAACGGTTTTCTTTTCTACCCACGCTTTTCTCTTCTCTTCTTTTCTTTTCTTTTCTTTATTTTTATTTATTTATTTATTTATTTTTTAACGTGAGCTGTCAAATTTTGCTAGACAGTATAGAGCAAACTATAGCATTTTGACGTCTTTTCCTTATACTTATTTGCTAACCTGTTGTCAGTCGCCTTTCTCTTTAACACCTATAGACAGTTTTCGTTTGCGGTTAACTGTACTTAAGATATCAAATATCTAGTCGTGTAAAAACTGCTAAATATAACGACACATGAATATAAAATAGGAGTCTGACCCCAAATTACAAAGAACACTCACTGTAAAACAATGAGATGCTGTTATGATTTGCCACTGAGTTGATCCATTCGCCCGTTTAATCGACGCAAGCTTTTTATTAATCTAAGAAGATGACTTCCCTTCTCTGGGCGGCGTTTGGATGGAGTGTTTTGTTCGTAGCGATCTCGGTTGCGAAACCAACCGATCCATCTCCTAGCCAATTGGCGCAAAAGAGCAAACACGCGCCATCTATGGCAGCGGACGACAAACAGGACAAAAGAAGCTTTGTGATTAATGGGAACTATTACGCTTGTCCAAACTGGGAAATGGAGACCCTTCTTCGAGGTATCCAAGCGCAGCTCTCTGAAATGCAGAAGCAACAACAGGCCATTAAACCAGTGACCAAGAACGAAACAGGTGAGGGAGAGGAAGAGTTCAGAAAAGCAATTTTGTTTCGCTATTTTTTTTTTTTTTTCTTTTATCGAATGAATCGCGACGTACTCATTAATCAAGTCGTAAAGTACTAGGATAAAGCGTTTCAAGACGACCGCATTACAATTAGGGATGTTTTCATTGAAGAGAACATATTTCCTTATAAGTAGAGAACCCCAGCTTTTGGGAACACCAATCTCTGAGAAAACCTATTTGGCTGCCGTGAATTCATGTGAAAACGCCGAAAGCCAATTCTGAGTTTGACGGCGGCTGTTGTAACTCAATCATATGTATATATTAAGATATTTTTGCATAAAAAAGAGTTCGTTTGCCAAACGAAAGAAATTGAACACCCAATGACCTCCATGTCGTCACGAAAAATACCAACAGCTGCCGCAGCAGCCTTTACATTTAATATATTACCAATAGAAAAGGTAACGTTGCATTTGTTAAAAGTTAAAAAAGGCACGCAAAAACAATGAAGAATTTCACACCTGCGCCGAGTCCAACCCCCGAAGGCAAAACTTCTCTGAAAAGAGATACCCAACAGCTCGCTGTAATACAATTTCCTCCCTGATTAGTGTCTGCTATACTTTTCCTAGTGAAACAGGTTGTTGTCCAGCTGATGTGGCACAATCCAAATTTCTAGATCAAATTACGTCACAGTTTTCACTTTAGTAGCTTTAAATGTTACCATAAACGGACGATATTTTAGTAAAAAAGAACAATCGTGACGTGACTCAGTGATGCTTCGCTCGGAATTGGCTCGTGCAAGCGTTCCCTTGAGGACGTTCTTGCCCTCGTGAAGTCGCGTGAAATTTAATTGAACATGGAAAATCTTTATCAGGAATGGATTATTAGCAAGAATAACTCTAGTTATTTGATCGCAGCCGTCATGAGAGACTGTGCTGATGTGTTCAAAGCTGGTGAAACAATCAGTGGTGTGTACACGATTAATCCAGATAATGGCGACTCGTTTGATGTTTATTGTGACCAAAAAACAACTGGTGGAGGGTGGACAGTGATACAAAAGCGATTGGACGGCTCGGTTGATTTTTATCGAGGCTGGGCAGACTACAAACGAGGCTTTGGTAACCTGAATGGCGAGTTTTGGCTTGGACTAGACAAGATGCACGGATTGACCAAGGAAGGAAGAAACAGGATTCGTTTCGATCTAGAGGACATTGAGGGAAACACTGCCTATGCTGAATACGACATGATCGCTGTGGCAAGTGAGAGAGCCAAGTATCAACTAAGCCTGGGGGCTTACACTGGTGAGGGAATATTCCTTTTTTTTTTTTAAACAACCGCCGCCATTTATTGTAGTAAACAAATGTATCCTCTTGTAAATATCTTCATCCCTATTCTCATTCATGTTTATGCCGCGGAATTCCAGAATGTGTGGGTTATGTAACCCTGTTTGTTGAATGTTAGTTACGTAATAAAGTGATGAATTACCACGTGCAATATCTCCTTATTTAAAGATCCGTCCTCTCAGATTCGGGGCATTTCGAAAGAGATACGCAAGCCGGTAAGTCTGGAGGGATTTTCTACCCACCCCTCTTACCTTCGGCGACGTGATACACAATCAGTGCTTTCGCATCCAGCCGCTNTTTTTTTTTGTCATTATTGTTTACCCAGGAACTGCTGGTGATTCTTTTGGCTATCAGCGAGGCGCTCCTTTTTCGACCAAAGATCAAGATAATGACCCGGATGCCCGTCACTGTGCAGTAACCTTTAAAGGAGGATGGTGGTACAGTACCTGTCGCCATTCAAACCTGAACGGTCTCTATCATCACGGTACTCACAAGTCCCGCGCTGATGGCATCAACTGGTATCATTGGAAGGGAGACTACTACTCCGCCAAGAGATCTGAAATAAAAATAAGACCGGCGGATTTTGAGAAATTTTTGTTACTTGCTTGATCATGAATAAATTTTTTTTATTCAAACCTTTAGATGAAAGTGCCTTTGGTTTCTTAACCCTTTAACCCCAGCCAGCCATAAAAAGTTCGGTGTTGATTATGTTTAAAGTCAGGAAATGGAACCTTGATCGATTTTAGGTGTAATGTGAATTTTACAACCAATTTTACGCCAAAAACTGCTCACTTTTTTTTTTTTTTTTTTAGCTACGTCAGAATGCGGTTGATATCCAGAACGGACAGCGGTGCGGATGGATCTATCGTAGCTCTATTATCTGCTAATCAAGAATATCTAATGACGCCTAAATTGATGACGTCACAAGTGCACAAAGTGCATGACCCCACAGCGTACGAAAACGTACGATTGGCGCTTAAAGGGTTAAGAGAGAACGGTTGAGATAAAATATTCCTTGCACAATCTTGTTGTAATCAAAATTGTGCAAGGAATTTAATTTTAGCCTTGGCTAAATCTATATATTATCTATGATTTCTATATTATTATCTATATATTATCTAATTTTTTAAAGGCAGTAATAGCGCGAGCAATTTCACACAAGAGCATGTATACAATAACAGATGTGCAGAATATTATTTTCAGCAAAACGCAGTTAGATTGTAATACGAATGAGACCATTATTTGTCGGCAGTTATTTGCAGGTTACGTGGTGGTCTCCCGACAATAAGCATGATGAAAAAGAAGAAAATGTGCATCGAATATAAATAGACCCTTTTCTCAAGCTTCTTTAACCTCATTAATTCTTTAACCAAATTACAGCCTAAAAAGGAATTGTTGCTTTTAGGCTTAAACTATTTGCCAGACATTTTGTCTTTCCACCCTTTTTTAAAACCTACAGTCAGCGGTTCTTCAAATGATCGAGCGGTTACGTAAAATAGAAACGATCTTTTAAAAATGCTTTCACGCGGATCTCAAGCATACTTGTTTTAAAACTCTCTCCGACCTTTCCGAACTTTTGGTGAGCGTAGCTGACGGTTTTCCTTTTTAATCTGTTTTTTGTTTGTTTGTTTTTTTTGTTTGTTTTAGTTTTTTTTTTTCTTTTTGTTAGTGTTTTTGTTTTTGGTTCCTTCTTTAATTTTTTTTTTTAATCCGTGGGGTGCCGAATGCTGCAAGATAGCATTGAGGTACCTAAATCAGTTTGAGCTCTATTCCTTATACCTCTTTGCTAAATTGTGTTTTCATTCGCCCTCACACTTTAATAACTATAGGCAGCTTTCAGTTGTTGTTGATTTGGGAGGTTAAATATCTAGTCGTACTAGTTTAAACCGCTAGCGACACATACAGGAAACACGAGTCTTACCCCAAAGGACACTCAGTGTGAAACAATGATATGATATTATATTTGTCGCAGGATCGACTTACATGTCACCATTTACCATTCGATCGACGCAAGCTAGGAAGATGACTTTCCTCTCTTGACGTTTGGATTTAGTGTTTTGTTCGTAGCGATCTCTGTTGCAAAACCAACTGTTCCTAATTCTAAACAATTGGCGCCAAATAGCAAACAGACGACAGCTGTTGCAGCGGATAGCCTGCAGTACAGGCGGATTAGCGGGCTCTAGCGCGAAGCGCGAGAACGAGCGCGAAGCGCAAGGCGAGAAAAATCCGCGGATTTTTCTCGCCT